ACCATACCATACCCACACCACACCATACCATACCCACACTACACCATACCATACCCACACCATACCACACCATACCATACCCACACCACACCATACCACACCACACCACACCACACCATACCATACCCACACCACACCATACCATACCCACACCACACCACACCACACCATACCATACCACACCACACCATACCATACCACACCACACCATACCATACCATACCATACACACACCACACCATACCACACCACACCACAGCACACCATACCATACCCACACCACACCACACCACACCACACCACACCACACCATACCCACACCACACCACACCATACCACACCACACCATACCATACCACACCACACCATACCATACCCACACCATACCACACCACACCATTTCTAAAGCACTTAAAAAACAACATCGCAGCAAGTGCTTTACAAATGTATAAAATAAAACATCAAAAATAAAATGACAATAAAAAGATCACATATACCAAAAAATAGTAAAAAATTAAGACACAGATACAAAATCTTTCTGGGCCAAAGAGAAGAAATGTGTTTTTAAGCGAGTTTTAAAAGCAGAAAGAGTTGGGGTCTGCCTGACCTTCAGCGGCAGGTCATTCCATAATTTAGGGTCCAGAGCTGCAAAGGCTCTGTCTCCTTTGGATTTGTAAAGGGTATTTGGGATTACTAAAAGGTTCTGGTCAGATGAGCTAAGACCATGTAATAGTATATATGGGTGAAGCAGTTCAGACAAATAAGAAGGGCTAGAGACTTAAAAACAAGCAAAAGAACTTTAAAATGGATTTGAAACCAAACAGGTAGCCAGTGAAGACAAGCCAAAACTGGAGTTGTCTGTAATTATCATTATTTACATTATGTTTCTGTTTAAACTTTCTTCTGTACGTATTAGTCCTCAAATTTCTTTTGTACTTGTTTAATCATTCATATTTCAAAACTCTTGGCTCAGTCAGATATCATGAGCCTTTAGTGTTTGTAACATACTTTTAGAATTAACTGTATTAAAATATTTGTATAGAAATACATGAAGATGTTTCATTCAAAACATTAATCTTTTGTCTCTAATCGCTTTTGTCTTGTAATGTTCCTCATGACTTTTAGCTACTGTTATGTTAAGGTGTAAAGGTTTTTTGTTACAGTACTGCTAATTTTAACACCTAGCCACTGTTTTAGTTTATTTTAGCTGTTAGCACCTGTTTTATAAAATCTAGCTATGATTTATCTGATTTATTCTTTTAGCATTTGTTTTTATTATTTAAGCTTTTAGCAATGATTTTACGAATTTAAGCTTTCAGCTAGTTTTGGAAAACTTACCTAAAGTTTGCTGGATTTAGGTTTTGCTAATTTTTGCCCTTATCTGAAGTTTTGCTAATTTTTACATTTGACTTTTTTCCCCTGAATTTTAGCTTTTCACTACTATTTTGCTTATTTTGCCTTTTAGCTTTATTTTCAATCATTTTAGCATTAGCTACAATTCCACTAAATTTAGCTTGTAATCTTAATTTTTGCATTTAGCTGTGGTTTTTGTTACTTTAACCTTTAGCTATTGTTTTGTACATTTTAGGTTATAGTCATGTTTTTGTGCTTATTTCTTTGTTAGTTTTTAGTTTTTAGCAACTGTTTTGCTGATTTTAATTTCTGTTCTTTTTTATTTTTTCTATATAAGTGAAGTTAGCAATTAATTTGTCAACAAAATCGTTCTGTGCTCAGCATTTCACAAAAAATGTGGTTTGTGTAGTTTAAAAAGACATGTCTGATGCATCTCAATAATCAAGGTAGTAAAATCCCCCCTAAAATTTGAACAGGTCCTCGATGAACAGCAATCAGAACACTAACGATCTTTATTAGGCTGAGGCTCCTCGTTCGCCTGTGAACAAACAGATCTGATTGTCATTGTTAAACCTGTTTGTCCACCATGTGGAAATACTGCTAATAATGATGCTGCGTTCCAGTAGTCCTGGGAAGTGGTAATTTCCCTGTTCCCATTGGTAGATTTAAGCTGGAACACCCCCTCCAGTGGTAATACTCCACTCGTAAAGTGGAAGAAATGAAACTGCCCCCAGTTTCGATTTCAAGATGGCAGCTACTCGCAGCTTTAGAAAGTTAACTCCGTAACTTTTACTATTAATTATCTTTCTTAATTTTTGTGCATCTTTAATCACTCGCACAAGTAGTGTGTTTTCTGTGCAATACTGTACGTGTTAAAATCAATGTTTATTTGCATGACGTACGTAGTAGAGCTGTCTTTTTGTCATTGTTGATATTGTAGCAGTGTTGTAGCTAGGTTGGCGGCACCAATACAATCACCTGTCGGCTAACTGGAATGCAGTTTCATATGGTTTGTTGGAAAATGACGTCACTACCATTTACCAGTTCCAGGAATGCAATGTAAACAGAATGCAGCTGAGCTGACCTTTACCTCCTCAGACAGAAGAAGCCTTTTGGAGAAGAGACGAAACATTTCAACAAAAACGAATCTGTCAGTGTATGAATGTGATTTAAAGCACTGTTTAGTCTCTATAGATTGATTTGTACATGTTAGCTTTGTAGTGAGATCTAACAGAGTGCTGTGTGAATGGGTTAATGAAGACACAGACTGTAGTGTGAAGAGCTTTGAGGATCCTGGTTGGATAGAAAGGTGCTATATACAGTACAGACCATTTACCATCTTTTTTTAACAAAAAACTGTTTTGAGTCACCAAAAGCATCTGGAAAACTATTTTAAAAACATGAAAAAAGATAGAAGGTATTTATTACAATGAGATTACACTTTAGTTTAACTTCTTCACAGTAAAGTACAGTGGAGGCAGCGTCATGCCATGGGATGTTTACCACTGACAGAAATTCATTGAGGAATGAACGTCATGGGGATTTTCTGGAGGAAGAACTGTTTCACTCGTGCGAGAAAGTGAGAATAATGGGCCACATGTAAGAACATGTTCGTCTTCTTAACCTAAATTTCTCTTACTTTTGTTAGTATGAAGGGTTCGTATGAACATGTCACGTCAGATTCAACAAACTCTTCTATTTTCAGGAAAAGTGTGTTAACAAGGAGCGTAAACTGATGAATGCGTATCAGCTGCTCGTGCACGAGAAGAGGAGATTAGCATAATTACTAACCCCCAAAACACCATATAAGGTTATACGTTTCCTGCCTCAGATACAAGGAAGTGTCCATTCATAAATGACATTGCAAAGTAAAAAAGACAAACTTCACGAGTTCGGAGATTGAAGTCTGCTCTCAGAGATCCACACAAAAAAATCTGTCATTTTTAGCAGTGTCAGCTGTGGAATTAAAGGATCTGCTTTAAAGCCGAGGAATGTTGTTAATGTCGTGTCTCCCGCGGGTCGTACAATCACAGAAATAAAAATCTAAATCATATTTATCTCTCTCTGTAGTCCTGCTCCAGTTTTTTTTGGTCAAATATTTTTAATTTCAGTGTAAACACCTGTGTTAACCTTTTTCATTTATTCATAAGCGCAGTCGCGCACCGCAAATCCCCCCACCCTCGACCGTCTAGTGTCAGATGTGTCTGAAAAAAAGCATTTTAAAATGTCTGAATGTCTGATATTTTCAACTGAAAATATCTTCAAACTAATGAAATATAGAGTTATTAATGAAGAAAATCTATCTATATAACAGCAGACTGACTGCTTATAAAATATACGACAGGTCTGGACCACTCGTGAATTTTGTTCGTATCTGAAGAAAATCTTAGAATACGAAAACATTGGTGAATGCTACAAATTCTCTTAAATCACTCGTACGCACAACTTAAGAACAAATCTGTTGGTACGAAGGGTTCTTGCATGAGGCCCAATGTTCGGCTTTCAGCATGGTAGCGACTGTTAGCATCCTGCCACTCAACAATCTGACCTGGAAAACTCAAACTCAAAGCAAAACTGAACGATTTCTTCGTATGACTACTTGAGGCTGAATGGTTCACAAAGATGTTCTTCTACTGACAAAGTTGTAACTAATAGAGCTTGAAGGAAACCGAGCAGTCCTGCACACATTGACTTGAACTTTTTAAACTTTTAGTTGCTTGTTTATAATGAAGAAACAAGCGTCAAATAAATGAATGCTACTGAAAATCCAAAAGAGGATTTTATTATGAGGACGAGGCGGTAAGATGACTGGACATAACCAATAAGGATGCAGTGGAACCTGCCCTGGATTTTTGGCCACATCTTGAAACTACATTTTTAAAAAAATTTTATTTAGCTGCCTGTTTTTCTCCATTTTAAAATGAATAAAGAGAAAAAGCCTCTTTCTCCTCTGAAGCATCGTTTTGTTCCCTCCCAGGAGAGGCCCTCTCACCGAGTGGCTGCAGAAGAAGCACAGCTACCCGATCGTGGACCTCAGTTACCTGGAGGTGGGGCTGGGCTCGCAGAGCATCCACATGGAGTTCATGGACAGAGACGGAGATGTGGCCTTCACGCTCCTCGTGAGGGACAGCGCACGCTGCAAGCGCTTCTTTGGCCTCCTGACAGGTAAAACCAGTGTGGTGTCATTGTTCACCTACAAACCAATGTTTTTTTTGTTTTGTTTTGTTTTTTATAAAGTTGCTGAGTGCTGTAGAATTCCCACGACAGGTACTGGAACAGCGTGTTCCTCTCACAAGAATCACCCACCCCACCCCTCACAAAGCTACCACCGCACCATATGTGGGTCCTTTATGACGCAAATGCTGAACCCCGTCGCCCTCTGTGATGGCACACCAGAACGTCTGTGAGCGAAAAACCTTTTTATTATACAGGGGCTCCCCCTCAGATTCAGAATGTCAGGAGAAATATGGAAAATGTATTTGACAGACCCAGTTGCTGAGGGGAAGGACATAATAACAGGAAATCACCTTGGATTGTTTAGGAACGGATCGTAACTCCGTGCTAATAAATTTAAACCGACTTTTTGATTCAAAGCATAATTAAACTAAGCTTTAAATGCTAATTTGTGAAAAGGCTTATAAATGAACCTTGAAATGTCAGAAGCTGGAATGCTTGGAGTATAACTCTCAGCTACCACCACATCATTTTTTAGTTCATTATGTGTAAAATATAACCATTTAGGCTTGGTTGGATTAGCTGTGACAGCCGTATAAAGAGGTATAAATCTGTTTTATGTTAAATAGAAATTATAGGCATCTCACCATTCAATATGATTTACAGGGCAGCAAATACGATTAGAAAACAGTTGTTTATCATGCACTGTTATCTTTAAATTTTAAATGATTATGGCTATTTGTATATAAATGTGTGTGTATATAAAAGTGTCTTTGGGTGTCCTGAAAGGCGCTTTTCAAATAAAATGATTATTATTATTATAAAAAACTTATTTCTAAATTTCTAGACTTAAAAAAATGCCTAACAGTGTATGTAAATAAAACTAGAAGCACTCAGAGAGTGCAAACCTCCACCAAGACCAATTTCCCCCATCCTGTAATAGAGTTAATGCACAAAAGCAGAGATGGAAACACATTTGCCGAATAAGTTCTGATGTAGTGAACATTTAAGCAGGCAGTATGCATGGAATTTCTTCCCGGTGGAGTCCAATGTGGAAAAAAAGGAAAAAAGTCAGACTCGTCACCCGACGTTATTGTTGAAAGCTTTTGCATCGGTGCTACGTGATTCAAAAGAGCAGAGTTTTCATTGCGCGTCTAATCACACAGACATACATGCATCTTCCTATCTTTGTGAGGACCACACAGTGGTCACAACCATGCTCTGCACGTTCTTTTTTTCCCCAAAGTTTGGCGAGAGGTGGATAGAGGGGCGCACAAATAGCTCTCGACTTGATCTGGCCTCATTTAAATAATAATAAAAATGAACAAACAAACAAACAAACAACCTTCGAGTCTGAAGTCCACCACGTCACTCCTCTTCCTCAATCTTCATCAATCTGTGTATAAGCCTACCGACAATGTGGTGTGTTTGAGGAAATGGGGGGAAAAGAGGTTTCATGGTGCAGTCACGCACTTCCTGGTAACAAAACGTTCTCTAAATGCGCACCAAATGTGTAAAAATGCACACATTATGGCAAAAATTATTCATCATTACATCTGGTTTTAACATTACTTTTATAAAGTTTGAAGTCCAAACACTGAAAGTTGTCACAGTTTTTTACAGAAGCCCTGTGAAAGTATCACAGCTTTGCCGATCTGAGAGGATTAAAAGAAAAAAAATTCCTGTATCCGCATCGTGATCCAGAACATCACCAAAATTTAATGGTGTGTTACTTGTGCCAGTATCCACATGTGGTAAAAATGTCATGACAATCCGTCCACAAGTTTTTGAGTAATGTTGTCCACAGACAGACAGACAGACAGACAGACAAACAGACAGACAGACAGACAGACAGACAAACAGACAGACAAACAGACAAACAGACAAACAGACAGACAGACAGACAGACAAACAGACAGACAGACAGACAGACAGACAGACATACGCGACCGAAAATTACATTACCTCGCCGTTGGCGGAGGTAATAAAAGATTTATTCACACGTTGCTGACTAAGAATTAGCGTAAACGCTAACTTAACATGGAAAATGCCTTAGAAAGGCTAACATGACTAGCATCTTGTATACCACTGGAAATTTATTTTTATTTTAGCTTTTAGCAGCTGTTTTATAAATTGTAGCTTACAGATTTGATGTTTCTGATTTTACTTTTGAGCAGTATTTAAATCTTTTTAAGCTTTTAGCTATAATTTTGTTCAACTTTCATTATTTACATATGTAAATATTTCATGTCGTGTTCTGTTAACCTCAAATATTATTCAGGCTTCAATAAAGAAAAGATAAAAAGAGACGAAAACAGAGCGTCTGACACTTTTAAAAGCCTTGTAGGTTGTTTTTAGCTCAGGGGTTAGTGTTGTTAAAAGCTTTTCTTTTTTTTCTCGATGTGCTGCTTCTTTATCTCTGTGCCAAGCCAAAAGCAAGGAGGGAGGGATGTTTTTACTGTATTGTCCTGTCATTAAGATTTCTACCAGACCAAATGTCATAAATCTTTGTGAAGAGGTGGAGCATGTGGACAAGACGTTCTTCCTGTGAATGTTAATTCAGGACTCATGCTTTTGTTTTCTTGTTTTTATTTTCATGCTGTAATTGGGCTCCAAGTCCTTCTGCATACTTTATTATTTTAGTCATTCACATATCAAAAAACCCAGCTTGTTCAGTAGACGGACGCTGTGAACTTTTGTTTTTTTTTTTGTATTTTTTATACTTTATAAATGCTCCTGTGTCCTGTTGACTATAACTGCCTACATGGTTGAATATGTCAGAATTAAACACCTTCTTGATTAAATGCATTTCATGGTTTAGGTTTAGTCAAAAATGTCACATAAGTCAGAGGCATTCTTGTTTCTGGGGCGGGCAGAGGTTGAAATTGGTTTGCTTGGTTCTGATTGCATGATAGATGCAAGTGGAACCATAAATTTAACATACTTGATTTGCAATATAAAAACACAATCAAAAACTAGTGTGTGTGTGTGTGTGTGTGTGTGTGTGTGTGTGTGTGTGTGTGTGTGTGTGT